TTTTGTTTTCGTATTGTACCGAACTGTTGAAGTAATAAACGAAACTAAATAGTAACGTACAACATAGTTTATTTTCGTACACTGGTTAAGACAAACATATTTTGCATATTTCTTTCTCAGTGTAAGAAAGTTCAATAGTGCTTTCGGGGATAGGGAGTGAATGTGCTTAAGTTGTGGCCACACTGAGCCTAAACTTCTCTCACGTCCAGCGTTGCCGAATTGACGATTTCATCGTCATTTTGACGTTTTTTTTTTAGCTCAATGACGTTTTGACGATTTGTCCCCGCGAAATGACGATTTTTTTATTTTAGTACATATGTATGTATGAACAAAAATTGTTAAAGGAAAACGTAGACCAAAATACAACCATGCATTTATCTAGTCTTGTTCTACAGCCGTGCTTTTAGTTATATTTAGTTTATTCTAGAATTGTAACCAAATCGTAAATTTTCACTGCTGATACTCATTTGAAAGAGAAAGAAAAAATAGGAGAGAGAATTTTTTCAATTAAGATAATCAACCTTATCATGAGTTTAATTTTCCCCGAACCGGTTCACTTTTCACTTTTGGTTTCCATGGGTTTTCTATGGGTGGATGACAAATTTTTGGGTAAATATTTTTTAAGTGAAACTCAGGATAAAGCAGAATCTATCAGTTAAGAAATGCTCCCGTTACACTTTGAAACTAGATCAAAATCTTTTAAGAAACCTCAAACAAGTGGAATTAAACAATTTAAAAGCAGTTGTGTTTTAAATTATAATTTTAAATTGTTGTTATCAATTACAAATTAACTTTTTAACCGAGTTGTAAGCTGTAAAAATTTGAGAATGGAAACACCCAAACTGTAGAAGTTACGGTTTTTTTTTATACCTGCGTACATAAAGTTTATACTAACCCTCATTTTTTATTTTGATTTTGTTTTAACTTCATCATGTTTGATTTTTATTTTTTTCAACGTGAATAGTTGTCAGACTTTATGGCGTACGCTGTAAAAATTTGAGAATGGAAACACCAAAACTGTAGAAGTTACGAGTTTTTACA